CATGTAGGCCCTCATGTTAGCGCGCGATTTCAATTAGACATTTCTTAGTAATTAGCAGTGATATTGGACAAACTAATACGCGTTTGGCTATAAGGTAATGTACTTATTAACTACACAAGGTGCCAGTTACTGTAGCATTCGTTAAAATTGCATAATCAATGGTCGTCTTATGCCTTTAATTGGAAGCTCAAGTTTCAAAAGAGTATAAGACTCAGGGTTCTCCAAGCGTTTTCATTATAGCATGGCGGGTGCTGCCTTTACGGTCCTAGTTGCAAATCGCAGCATGGCGGCTATGATATTTAGAGTGGCGGGTGCATTTTAGGATGGCGGGGCTCGACGAGTCTGGCGGGCTGCCAGGCTATAAGTGCTCTTGGAGAACCCTGAGACTATATTAAGAGCGAAGCGGAGTAGAAGAGCGAATAATTAAGAGCGCATATTATAAGAGAGCGAAGAGCCTATAATATTATTATATTATAGAGCGAAGAGCCTATATTAAGAGCGAAGCGTTAGTGTTTCTAGTCACCAGTATTTTCCGTACATAATCTAACTCTGGTTTCAGTAACCTGTGGTTGTCTCCTGTCCAGTTTTCTATTCGTTGTCCCTCCTTATATTTATTATAGCTATTACATTTATATAAATGTTCCATGTCTTCTTTTATATTCTTAGTACATCAATTACAAAATAATTCAGAGCACTTTCTGTCATTGTCATTCCCGTGTTACTATCTGACTGGTAATCCACAAGCTTCTCTAATAACAGACTTTTCGCGGTATTAGTACTACACTGCTGTTACGCTAGTATGAACCTCTGTGTTTACACTCTGACCTGATTTCTACGGTGCGTGGTATGCATTACTGCACCGTGATAGATGTCTCGCGAGAAAGTCCGAGAGATGGCAACGGTAAACAGAAACAGAACGCAAAATTGTAACCGTGCATGATTTCATTGGATTTGGTGTTTACGAAGGTTCTAAGGCATTTTATCGTTACTCTAGACAATTGCTGTTACTCGAGCAATAACGGTAGGTATCATGAAAGTGGGGAAACCACTGGAAAACTCTCGCAATGATTACTTTAAAATAAAAAACCGCTATGTGGCACAAAATTCGCCGACTTCGTGTATAGACGATATAATATCTATTTACATACATTAAAACATACTATATTCCTAATATACTACTATAGTCTACTCTAACCCAACAAGACTTACAAAGCCAACTCTTGTTGGCAACCCTACTCTTGTTCGGTTACATTATTGTATCTAACACCACACTGCACAATACAGACTAATAATGATATATATATCTATATATATCTGAAATATATACTTTACAGTAAATATATTTGCTGACTCATATACTACAGTACTATATAGTACTGATATATACTTAACATATTATATTAATTTCAGCAACTGGAGTGTCCGTTCATTGAGAGTAGTGATGAGGCATTCATAAACGACCTTGTCTTCAGTCCAGGAGAATCAAGAATACACGTGTTGCAATGGCTGCTCATAAGGTATATATATGTATAGGACTCATTTCGTATGTGTGGCCTTATCCCCTTGTATAGGCTTGTGTGTTACTCTTGTGTATATTTCGTGATTTCTTTCTATATATAATTATCACAAAGTACGGTTTCAAATTCATCTAGTTGGTATTGTTAAACCGATTGCATCTGCAGCTGCAAATGCTGAGCTCGCATATGCACGCATATGCACATGCAGGCTGCATTAACGTTGGGCAGTTTACCTTCTACTGTATTTGAAAACGTATGTGCAAGGTTACTACATCACTGTTTCCATTGATTATCGGCAAACAAGCTTTATGTGAATATGTAAATATTAGTTTCCGTGATGTTCTTCTAGGTTTGATTCATCTCTCGAGCTGCATTTAGAGGAGGCAAAGTTGTCTGCGTACAGCAAGGAGGATCCAAGAATCCTTAGTACGTATTTTGAGTATGTGATCCTGGCTACAGTAACAACACCGTGTGTTGATTTCTATAGATTCTCATGCACCTTATAGAAGTCGTGAAGAAATGACATTTTATTACTTAGGAATTGTCGTGTATGTGAATTAGTTGAAGAGCAAGTCATGAATCCATGATTGTTGCTGACGAATGATCGAATGGGCATTGCAAGATTGATCCATAAATGCGGTTGAACTGTTTAGGAGACTTAAAAAATGAAGTGACACGACAGTGATTGCTGGATTTTCCACAAGGAGAACCTTGTGTACCTTCTGTCTTCCCATTGTCTTTCCTGTTTGTGTTAGTGTGGCAGTCCAAATTTCATACAGTGGTAAATGAGGCATTGATTGCACCCAGTTTGGCTGAGAGGGTCTATGTCCCCCAGGGTACTGCCGGAACGTACCCTGGTACTATCTAATATGCCGTACCGTACCTCGCCTACTCCACTAACGAGTCTAGGGAGTTGCCTACTCCCTAACCCTAACCCTAACCCTAACCCTAACCCTAACGCTAACCCTAATCCTAACCATATTAAATAGTTACCAGGGTACGTTCCGGCAGTACCCTGGGGGACATAGACCCTATGAGCCCCAGTGTGAGATGCTGTTTAGTAGATAAATTAATCGTCTGTTGTTGCAGGACTTTTGCTTGTCGTCTCCAGCCTTGGACTTTGTGAAGATAACGATGTCGAACTAATTAAGGTATGCAATTATTGCACATGTCTGATGTCCATTAACTATGTCAGTTACACTCGTGAATATTAATTTATTAACGATTAATAATCAGAAACCCACTCACATAGCTAATTTTCGAGTAAATCACAAAACAGATTTTTCCACATTAGAGCACTTGGCAAATATTCTCCTAGGAGAATTCAAAGTTTATCTCTGACCCATTCAATTATTGTAGCAACCATTTCTGAATTACGCAGGGAGGAAAACCGGACAGAAAGCAGACTGCGTTGATGGATAGATTAATAAGGCTGGCATTCACCACTGAACGATTCGTCGTGGGTGACGAGCACTCTGATTCAGAACCATATAAGTAAGCACCCATTGATACTGTGCTCGTAGATCTACTTTCGTGTTTTTTGTGTCCAATTTTTGACTCTGTTTTGCTCTTTCCAGTGACTCAGTGCCAACTCTTCAACAGCACTTTGGCAGGTGCTGCCATATGATGGACGAAATATTGCAAAATGTAGACGTAAAGGAACTTTTCAGCCACACAGCATCACTGCATCCGCCGCACACTGAGAAATACCTCAACAGCCAAGTTAAGAAGGGCTTAATAAGCAAAAAGTTAGTATTGCCATCATCAAAAATGTTTCGAAATTGTTGTTAAAAAGTATTAGTAAGCCACAAATAGCCACAAAAATTACAATAATCTCAAATAGCTTTCACAAGTTATGCGAAAATTCGATATACATTTGTATTTATAGGCCACCAGACGTAGCAAAACTTGTTGATATGTCTCGGGAGTTATCAGAAACAATAGAAAAGGAGACGAGAAACCTTGAAGAGCTTAAGGCTCGGGTAAGAAGAAATTGATACTTGTAGCAGTTTTGTGTCTCTATATAACACAATTTAGTCCTTTATACAAAGCATTTTATGAATGACAGCCGGGTGGATTCTTCAGAAGTAGCAATCGTCAAAAGTCTGTGTTGCAGACAAGCAGTGTTGACAAGAGTATGATATAAAAAGGGTGGTTTGTTTGGCTCTCGCTAGAACACGTGCACCGAATACGACGAGACTTGCATGGACACGTTGGGAACAAGGATGAGGCTACTGCTGACCGACTTGAAACAACTCGCGACAAACTTCACCTGTTGCTACGAAACCCAGGTTAGAATGTTAATCAAATGCCCCCCGAGGTGCACAACGTAGTGGTCACTCGTCGCGTAAATGTTCCTAGTAGTTTGCATTAGAAACGAATGGGAAGCAGACCTGCCAACCTGTGATTCATGAAAATAGTAAGGGTTTTCTTTTCTTGCAGCAGGCGGCCATTTTGTTTGTATGTTATGCGCGCAATGAATGATGGGACTAACTCTAGATCACGCGAGAACAACGTGAACGCGTGATCCAATATGGCTGCGCCCACAATCGCCAGATATTTCTCGGCTCACAATGTAAAAAACACATTAATTTTCAAGTCGTAAAAAAATCGTAAGTTTTTCAGTTTGATCGTACATTCGTAAAAACATCTTGGAATTAGTAAGGAATACGAAAAAATCGTAAGGGTTGGCAGGTCTGGGGAAGTTGTATGCATGCAGCTCTAGCTGTGTACGGTGTAGGTTATTAGCTTCATGAGGTCGGGATCGTTTCCACAGTTAAAGCAGTGGTGCGGAAACACCGAAGTGGAGATGTCACCGCTCGCTTTGCCCATGAAGTGCACGTACGACTTGCTTCGCAGCTTTGCTGACGTGAGTATAAAATGTAGCGAAAACGATGCGAGACGATAAAGAACTTTATGCCACGAAGGTAGCCGTAATGCTAGAGATATGTTGCTAAGATGGTTAAAGGCATACTAGGCCCATTGATTATGCAATGTTGACGAATGCTAGAGTAACTGGCACCTTGTGTAGTTAATAAGTACATAACCTTATAGCCAAACGCGTATTGGTTTGTCCAATATCACTGCTGGTTACATTACAAGCAAGACTTGAAATCAGTTGTTGATATTTATTTATGTGCCGTAAATGTCATCCAGGAGTCGAGCGATGACGTTAACATTTGTGCGGCCCGTATGTTTTGGACGCCAGATGAAATGGTGGTGTCAGTGGTGTAACCACGGCCACGGACTAAACATGGAAATGGAGTAAAACACACGTACTAATCACGGACGCACATGGACAGCCCTGACAAAAAGTTATCACGAGCGTCCCTGTTTACGAAATCACTGATGATAGCATTGCGTACGGCCGAGCATGCGTGCGAAAATGTCCGGTGCACTATAAATATCACACCCGCTTCGCCGGCAGCGGTGTGAAACTGTAAACAACTGATTTCTTGGACTGCGGATTTCAATTAGACATTTCTTAGTAACCAGCAGTGATATTGGACAAACTAATACACGTTTGGATGTAAGGTAATGTACTTATTACCTACACAAGGTGCCAGTTACTCTAGCATTCGTCAACATTGCATAATCAATGGGCCTAGTATGCCTTTAAAATAATAAAATTTTGGAGTAATACAGTACCAAACAGCGGCTATACAACATAATGAAAAAATATAATACAAAAATGACAGTACTTTCTGTACAGTTTGTGACGTATGTGCCTATTGTACATCTCACGATGGCTCACGTATTTGTACTCGCATCTTTCGAGATCAAATTCGATAACGTATTGATGCAAATTGCATTTGCGCAGATGCTGGTAACGGTTGGATCGATACACGGCTCATATGCAAACTGTCTGACAACCAGGGAAAAGTTGAAAGCACTCCTTAATGAAGGGACATCTGGGAGAGGCAAGTTTCTGCTCTTCTGCTATGTGTTTCTGTGATCCAGGGAAAAAAATACACGGGAGCGATGAGCGATACGCTCTTCAAACGGATTCGCTCCCGTGAGGCTCAAAATAGCTCCCGTAAAAATTTTGACGACAGCTATTTTTTCCCACAGACTTGAAAAAGAGCTCCCGTGAAAAAAAAGTAATTTTTTTCCTGCTGTGATCGCTACTGCACTTGCAAACATTAGTGTTTGCGCTGTTGCATTTCCACTGTTGTTACTCGATTCTCGCCGAATCGCGGGTATCTTGTGTTAGCGTAACAACTCGGCCTACGTTCAACGTATTTCCAGGCTCTGTGAGGGAGGAGAGCTTAAGACTGGTGCGGGAATGCGTGGCGATATTGGAGGAAGCTGTCCAGACCGATACGCGCGCGTGGAAGCCCAGAATTCGCCTTCCTGCCGACGAAAGCGTGACTGTAAATATGACAAGAGTGGGGAACAACACTGCAGCAGAGGTCCGCAGCAGGCCTTCACTTTTTAACTTAGACGAATCTTTGCCGGAGAGAAAGTCGCTGTTGTTTGAACTCGCGGAAAGTTCTTTTCATTGTTGAAATTGGTGCGGTGTATACAATTTGAGTTTTTTTTTATAAAGAATAAAGAGCCACATGAAGGCAGTGTATATACATTTGAGTGTGTGACTGTGTGTGTGTGGCTGATTAGTTATTAATTTTCATGAGCAATTATATTAAAATTTATTTTACCAATATAGACCACATCTCATGATTTCGGGGTTGTACAGTTACTAGTGGTAATATATTTCCCATTTTATATGTGTAAATGCCTGTTTTTGTTGTAATGATATATGTACAATGGTTTAGATTTACACTTCCTTGGGATTTTATTAAATAAATGTATCATATTAGCAAACTTTTAAAGTTGCCGATTTTATCTGAACCACATTTTCCTAACTATATTATGCTGACAAATAACCACCAATTTAGCATTCTACTTCATGAACGTACCATACTCCCCCAACAAAGAAAGTAGCCTCTCATTACACTTCAAACTAACATAAATTCCATCGAGCTTCTGCTTATCAACTGATGTGCTCGTGTACGTGCAGATCCCACAAGCAACTATTCTAGTTCAAACCTCATAACTGTAATTACAGTGAGATAGATGAGCGATACTGTGCATGTTTAAACACACAAACAATCGAGGCCTATTCCAGTCAGAAATATATGCGGTATTGCGCACTTTGAATACGGCTTACAGCAGCTTTCATATAGGAAATTATTCACTTCGCAAAATAACACAACTTCGTAATTACGCATCTACACCTCGCACAATTCACAGACTTCCGCACAAACACGCACTCACGCACGCACGCACACACACACAACACTAACACATCGCTGCACACACACATTCGTATCTTTATCATGTCGGTAACAACAAAATCTTGTGCGGAACACCTACAAAACGGCTTCTTTCTTCCCCTCTGAGGATGAGAGAGGAACATGGCTTCCTTCTCCTTCGTGGATGCAAATATGACGCCGCCCACTTCTATTCCCTCTTTGTGGAAATGACTAGGACATGGCTTCCTTTCTCTTCTCTTCATAGATACGACTCTACTATGTCACTCCTTTCACTTTCCTCCTCACAGAAACGACTCTACGACGCGGCTTCCTTCTCCTTCTTCGCCTTGAACTTCTTTGCGAGCTTCGCCGCGCGCTTCCTGTTCGTCGACGCCTCGACGCCCTCCTGCAGTGAGCCGCACGCCGCCGCGTGAAGCGGTACCTTCTTCTTCTTCTTCCCGGCCGCCTGCTGCTTCTCACGCACCACCTCCTCTCTCCAGAACTCGTCGAACGAGCCGGGCGCCTGGTGCGAGGGGTCGCCGGTTGCCGGCGCGTCCTTGGACAGCAGCACGGCGAGCGAGGGCACGCGCCGCGTGACCTTGAGCCGCTCCAGCCCCTCGCCCGCGCGCCGCGGCTCCCAGTACTCATCGACGCACGCGTAGCCGGCGCGCGCCACCTGGTGGAGGTTCTTCGCGCGCCGCTTGACGATCTCGACGCAGGATATCGTCTTGGCGACGGCGGCGCCCGTGCCAACGAACGCGACGTGTCGCGCCGCGTCAGGTTTCAGCGCCGTCGTCGCGTGCCCCACGATGCCGCCGACCCTGCTCCCGGGCTTCACCCGCATGACGACGGTTCCCGCGGCGACGGCGAACGGCAGCGGCTGCACCTCTTCCACCGTCTCGCCCTTCGTGTAGTTCTCCATGGCAGGCGCCGGGTTCGGCCGTGGTGACGAGGGACTGGTCGACTCTTCGGCCGACGTGGTGCTTGCTGAACTCAACTGGAGGATGGATTAGTAAGAAGGATCGCTGACGGCTGCCACTTCTTTTATGCTGGAATAAAACAAAATGTGAACTTTGTTATTTATACACATTATAAAATCGGTGAACGGAGTTACGTAAGCTTCTGGTGTATCATACATTTTGTATGACGTACGTGCACATCATGATTCATGATCATATAATATAATAGTTAATACTAATAAATTGCACGCACTCCTACCACTCAGTACAACTGTCAGTGTCAGTGAGTGTTGTTTACACAATACCTGTTTACTGTCGTTTACACCTTAACGTACTGACATATATTTATACACCAGAGTTATATCATATCAGTGAGACGTTGTTTATGACCTCAAATAGAGGCTACCAAAGTATAGAAAACGTACGTAAACACATCGTGCTCGGTACATGTACTTATTGCTTCTTACTCAGTGGTGGCTGCCATGTCTGCTCTTCCATTGGCCAGTTCAATGTATTCTTCTATTGGATGTCACGCCAAGCCCTTTTCATTTTCAATTTGGCAGTTAGCCAACAACTGAACAAGCGCTCGTATCGCCGTATCGTATCGCTGCGGCGCTGCCAAGCAAAGTGACAACAGTCAACGCAACACACGAGACGACGCGTATATCGCACGGGAAAACGTGATCGGCGAGTAGGCTAACTCTGATAAAAGAAGACAGCGAATTAACGAACACAACGTATCTATATACCGGCAGCAGCTATCCGTGAGTAGTGAAGTACTATTGATAATAAAATTTGGACGAAGTCAGACGAGTGAAATCGCCCTCGCATATAATTTTTGTAAGCTTAATTATGTCGGCTTTCCGCTTTCCCTCAAAGGCAAGCGGCGTGCGTGCGGTATGTTGCAGAGGAGCATTTGAACGGCATTTACAGGAAGTTATCGGCAATAATAGGCGAAAGAGAGTAGATAAACATTAAAACTTTGGTAGTAAATACAATTCGTGTTTATTTACCATACCCCTCGGGTGGCTCGCCAGCCACATTACTTGCCTACTGGATATATTGCTCCCAGCCGCGGGCGTTCACGTGATATCATGTTCTGTGCAGTGCAGAGCGATCGCGCGTAGCCTTGACTGGAATTTCTACAGGGGGAACACTCGACTGCAGACCTCTAGCAGTGAAGCACGTCTAGTATATCGCAGCCGGTGCAGCCGTGTTCAGACTGCCAATTATAAGAGATACGCGCGTAATTCACCGTGTTACTGTTAGATCTATATAGTTGCGACTTCGAATTTATAATTATATTGTCTGATATAATTCAAAGTGATTATATACGTCATACCTATTTGTGTAACAGTATATATAACACCTCGTGCATTCACTGTCCTTCATCACAGCTAGGTACATTTACGGTTCTAGGCCCCTACTTAACGTTACCGGGTATAGTGTGAACTGTGATATATGTTCTGCGGGTTACAATCGAATCATTGCATTTAGATGAACAACAAAGAAAGAAAGAAAGAAAGAAAGAGGGATCCGGAGCGAGAGAGAGAGAGAGAGAGAGTGTGTGT